AGAAGTGGAATGGGATCTCAATTCAAGGGGATGCCAGGCATCTCATTTCCAAGGAAGCAGTGTGTGCTCTGAGAGCCTTACGTGTCATTGTATTCTGGGGGGAGATGGGGACACGTGTGGGGGATCACCCCCTGGGGATCTGATTGTCAAGGGAGAGAAAGGGGTTTAAGAATACACCAAACGCTCGTGCAGCAGATGATATCCTCTCATTTATTGCTAATCTACCACAGTACAGGCAATATATAAAAATATTTTACAGACGATAGCAAAAAAAATTACATTGGAGGTTAACCATGTTGTTGTAGGAATGTAAATATGAACTCTTTTTTAGTTCTTAAAGTTAGGCTTTTGAACAAACAGTTTGATTAAAAAGACATCTGCTAAAATGATCTGAGAGATGATTGCTTTCTTGCATGTGTATCTGCTAACGGGGCTTTGCACAGAGAGTGTCTGCAAGGAGACCTGGGTGTCCTGAGCCAGGAGAACACATCATCATCTCACACACACACACAGGTCCCAGCCAGGACCCAGCAGTGCCCCTGTCTGGTACCTGGCTGTGCATCCCAGCTCTCACCACACTGCTGTGTACAGGGACTGGCAGCGCTGCTACAACAGCTCTTCAGTCCTTGCAGCTTTGGAGGAATGACCGCTCATCCCACCAGCTGGTGACACGGAACATTATTCATTTGGTGACTCAGCCATTCTAGAACTTTCTGCCCGATTTGGCTGTTTTAAGTGATTGGAAAGAAACGTGAGCTTTTTCCCCAGGTGACTCGTTTGATCTGTTAGAATGTCAGCATCTTTGCTTCAATTTGCACTGCGTTGTTGGTTTGGTCCCAATTTATTTATTTCTGTATATCAGGAACAAGGAAAATGGCAAAATGAATGGCTCTTAGACCAGATGGGTTAGATACTGAGTGCTGGTTAAAGACATTCCTACCGACTGGCACTGCTGCACTGATAAAAGTAGCAGACGTGAAAGACAGATGCCAGCTTCCAACAGGTGGATTACTCTTTCTGAACTAGATGAATAAAGGATTGTCACTCCCCGTGTGTCACAGTGGGCACTGTGAGGTGCCTCACACACACACATGGAATCAGTGTGATGTAAACAGTGAGGAAAACAGTCAATTTCTGGGGAATCTGCAGTTCACCCAAATGCCATGTGAATAACCAAGAGAACTGCAGGTAAATGGGAACACCAGGTGATTTCATGTGGTGGAAGCTTTATGAAGATGCGAATCAATTCAAAATCTGAAAATAAGATGAGAGTCGTTTTCTTGAATCCCATCTGGCAGGTAATTGTTCTCTATTAGAAAGCAGTTTGGAAAGAAATGCGGGGACAAAAAGATTGAAATATTTAGAAACGTGCTTCGAAAGTGTTTAAAGTTGTCTTTGAAGTCTTTGGAAAATGGATCAAATGTGACTTTGGGGGGCAATAACGATTCCACAACAATTGCATAGAAAATTAATGCGCATCAACAAATGAAGATCCACCCTTCATAAATACTATCCTTAATTCAAAAGCCGTTGCATATTTGGCCAGACCAAAAGCATAGACACTTTTTTTGGTAAAGATACGGATTACAAAATACATTGTAAAAACATGCTAGCTAATTTGAGAACCGTTTTAGATATGTTATAAAGCAGCAGCATTTTATACAATAGAGAATAACATAGTGCTGTTTCTGGAAATATTCTACATTCAGAAAATGCCGTATCCCTACAAGAAGAATGGAAGTGATACATATTTACATGGATACAAACAAAGCAAGTGCAAAACCCATGGCTCTTCTACATTCTTTCTCCCAGGAACAACACGTACATTAGACACCTTCATCCCATCGCAGCTCAGATCTTCCACTTTGCTTATTCTCATGGAGAAAAACGAAAACGGGACTTCGTATTTCATTGCCTTCACGAGCAATTCCTCTCCTGGCAAACTGTGCTTCCGACACTCATAACTGACACAAAAACATCTCCCTGGTATCTGTCCACTCCCATTCCACTCTTAGACTGTTTACACGTCGTGAACGACGGTTTTATTTTACGCATTCATATATTTGATGCAGACGTTTATAGAAGCTCATCCTGTACTTGCAGCCAAAGCTCGGATGGAAAAAACGAAGTATAAAAATGCACACGCACAGAAAAAAAGAAAGAGATGAACTTTGAGTTCCAATGAGCCCCACGTACTTCACATGGTATAACTCTGATGGAAAATGCATTAGAGTTGTACACCCTGCACACAAGGAGGCCTTTGGTACAATGGCAGGAAGGCACTGTGGTGAAACATTCAGATAACTGAGGAAAGACAGAATTTCCTCATGTGCAAATATGGCTATCATCCAGATAAAGTGAGAACAAATTGCTCACAGAATGGCATTAACTCTTCCGAGGTTAATCTAATGCTTCTACAGAAAGAGAGCGAGGCGTGTTATGCCACAAGTATTAATACTGCAGAACACTGCTCAGCGAGAACAGGAAATAATTTAGTACTGCGTATTCTGAAGTTCTTCAGCCTAGCTATATATCTGTAACACATCAGTTTTCTTTTTAAAAAGAGACAACAACGTATGTTGCTATGTCTGAGGATACTCCTTCTCTCCAGAAATAAATATAAAGTGGTTAAAGCTGTTCTATGTAACTAACGGTGGATGTAAAAGCAGGTAAGAGTAGCACAGCCTGACCTGACGTAGCTGTAGATAAAACCACTAAAATGTAGTCTATATTATGTACATCATACGAACCCTCGCTCCAGCAGCTGGCTTTGTGTGGCAGCAGGTCTGCACGGCTGCAGCCAGCTGTAGGACTGGTGTGTGCGGTCAGAGAGAAGCACAGATGGATGTGTACACATATATATATAACCATCTACTCTTACGTGGTTATAGTATATAGACAGACATGTATATGCCTCTACCCTAACACATGTCCAGATTAGTATCTATGCCTTTAAAAAGGAGGAGGAAGTACAGCTAGTGCAAGCATGAGTAAAGCACTTGTAGCATATATTAAATATATATATATAAACCCCTCTCCTGCTCTCCAAAGCAAACTGCCCAAAAGAACAGCCCAGAGCAGCATGCATCTGACCTTCCAGTTCATGCTCAGGTGAGGGCACATCCTGCTCAGGAGCCCTGCAGGGCTTGGGGTCAGCCTGCGTGGCTCCTGCTGAGGGCTCACTGCCTTCTGCAAGGCTCCATGCCTTCTTGTCTGCTTTATACGGCTATGCCTCAGAGCAACAAGGGGAGAAAGATGTTTAAATGGTCACTGGGGGACAAAAATTGACAAAATCAGTCAACAGCACAAACACACGTAGTGCAACTGCATGCTGCAGGGAGGGCTGCTGGGGATTCGGTGTGTGGGATCTGACGGAGGGCACTGCCACGGCCAGCTGTGTTCTGACAGCCACCAGAAAGCAGCAAGAGCTCCCGACTTGGAAAAAAGCTCACATTCTTTGGTATTTCATTTGAGATCCAGCAAAAGAAATGTTTCTGTCAGTTACCTGGGGACTTTGGTTTGCTCTGAATGGATTTTTGTTTTTTTTTCATTTCTCCTGTCTTACCCTTAGAGGTTGGATCAGGGAAAACTAGATGGCCATTTCTGGTCCTTCCAAGCCAAGAGACCCATCTGGGCTCTTTTGCTCAGCTGCGGTAAAGAATTTCTGACAGGCAACTGTTGGCATTAGCAAGTTTTCAAAATGAAAAATCCATTAAAATGCATTAAAAATACACGATGGGTGGTAGATTTCAACAATATGGCAGGTTAAAAACAATTGAAAAAGTGGCTCATCTGAGGCGTGTGAACCAGCTGAAGTGCTGTGCAGTATAAATGCTGTTTAACAATAACTAAACTATGCAGAAGGCACCGCAGCCTCAGTTTTATTCCTGCAGAAGGCTGTGGGATTGGTGCAAGCATCTTTCTTGCAGTACTGGGAACAAACCAGGCAGCTGCTCTGCTGGTCTTCAATATTCATATGACCCAGTGGCTGCTGTGAGCACGTGGGCACACTGCTGAAGTCTGCTGTGAAGCAGCTGAGAACAGGGCAGGTTTGCTGTGCTTTCTACGAGTTCAGGCTCAGTGCCCATAACAACGCAGCTTTCCTCATTCACAAACCACTGCTGCCCACAGAGCAGCAGCCTCCTACTGCAGAGATCAGTCACTCCAGGTGTGCTTTCATCCCACTGGGGTAGCAGAGATGCACTGAAATCTTACAAACTTGCTAGCTGTACGGCTGCAGGCTGCAGGTAGCTCTTACTGTGATTAGCATTTGTCAGTACATTACATTCAAACACACAAAGCAAAACCTTACATGCTACCTCGCATGGAATTTTACCTTTCCAGAAGCTGCTGGTAGCTTTGCAGTGCTGAAGATAGAGTATTATAAGTGTATACTTTTTCTTGAACATACAGCTTCTGTGAAATGCAATTATTTTCCTCTGCAGCTTGTGTGGTTAAACATTACAGCTGCTACATGAGACAAGGTACCAGCCAACAGCGGGCTCTACATGAGAAGAAACAGCAGCAATTTATTGGGGAGAAAATACGTAAGATGTGTTCGTATGCTGCCTAAATGAGGACAGGTCATAAAATATTTGGGTTTACTGTGACTCCTGTACATTCATCTCTGTTTACGTGGGTTTCATTTACCTTGAGATAGGTGTAGCAGCTGCTGAACTGCTCTTTTTACTGGCTCTCCAGAGCATCCTTCTCCACCAAATCCCTGTTCAATTTGACAAGAAAAAATGGAGAAAATTGCCGGATTCTGTTGACGTCTACTGCTTGAAATACTGATCACGGTGCTCAGGGTGAGAAAATACAACCTCTGCTCCCAGACTGGATAAAGGCAGAGTGAGCTTGAGCTGCCTCAGTTTCCTACAACAGAATTTTTCAGAAGGGCTTTGCAACCTGGAAGGCAAGTCATTGTTAGTGAGCTGCACAGCGCTGCTCTTTTATGGAATATATTACTCTTTCTTCCCTTGTTTCCCACCCCACCCAAATAAAGACTAATATATAACCTCCCTTGTTTTGTGTGGCCTTCAGGAGTGCCATCTTACTTCTCCCTTATTCTGAGATAGATGCATCGATACATAGCTAGATTTTTGCAGCAGGCTTGAAGTGTTTCCTCAGACAGATGCTCTGTTACATGAGAACAATGCGATCTTTGGACGAAAGGAAGGGTGCCCTTTTCCATGTTTACAGAGAGAGGTGGCGAGTTGCTTAGTCAAGGCTGTCAGCTTGATGCCAGTACATTGTTCCTTGCATTGAACTGGTGCCTTGAGATGAACAGCTAAGGAAGCAGGAGGTTGCAGGGGCACTGGAAGGATCTAAGAGGTCAGTTATGGAAGGATTTGGTAGAAGCTGTCTCACAAATCTTCTTCTATGTCTGATTTCTGGCAGGGAGTCCAGAAAATTCCTTCCTGATAATTTCGTTAACTGTGAAATAAAAGAAAGAGGAAGAAATGTTAAGAGCACTTCAAAGTCACGGGAAGTAAAAGCAGTCCTTGGGCAGTCTGCCGTTAATTCAGAACATCCTCTCTCTATTCTTACTGTAACTTCGTGATTAAAACTAAAAAAAACGTCAGCCGAATAATCCATGCCACACACTTTTGTTAAGCAAGAGGGAAGGAGAGGAGAGAGGGGGCTGAGGTGGTGTTCAGCATGCTTCAAGTGCCACAGAAACACAACTGGCAACCTGTTCCATGTCCCCGGCACACACTGCATCCCCTGCGTAGCACAGCCCTCTGTCACAGACAGCTCCTTCATCCGGGCAAACTGAAACCAAGGTGTAAGCATCTGAACACTGTAACATTTCTCTCTAGGATGAAATGAGAATATTCTGAATAGAGAAGGGCCTGACTTGGAGGAAATAAAGTGGGTAGTGCTGAACAGACAGAGACTGCAATTCAGCTGTTGGCTTTTTTGTGTTTTTCTTTTGAAACACCACCGGTGCCTCTATTTGGTCCACACTTTTGTTCTAGTTTGTTTGCAGACTGCAGCAGAAGCAAATTTCAATGCACTGCTCTAACAGTCTGAGAGGCTGGGACAGGTTTGCCAGTAAGGCTCAACAGAAGGCACCGAATCACTTTATTCTCTGTTTAAAACAACCTGAACAACAGTGCCAGGTCCCTCGTAGCACAACCTTTCTATCTAGGCAGCGACTTTGTTAGGAGAGACCTAGAAGATGAGTGCTTTGGTGCCAAACTCTGGAACTGCCTGCTTTGGGACTCTGTTTCCATGCAGCTCCTCAGTGCTGCATTCACTGGGGGGATCCTCCATCTGGAAACTGCTTGTTTTCTCTAATAAATTTGTCTAAAAAAAAAAAAAAAAAAAAGGCCGAATTTTCTAAAGCTTCAGACTCCAAATCTAAATTATTTTTCCCATTGTTATTTCGATGCTAAGCCACAGACTAATTCAAAACAAAGCAACTCCTCACCCAAGCTGACTGACAGGTATGCAGCTGTAAGACTCCACAATTCTACAAATAAACAAGAAACGTTTATGAGAAGTGGCAGTTTATCGCTATTATAATACTGCGCCCAATCTCTGGGAGAGCACATGCAATAATTTTTAAGAGGTATGGCTATTAGTTTGAAATCTCTCTATAAGCAGTGGAACTTATCCCAGAAAAACATAAAATATCTGCTTAATGCGAAGCTCCACGCTGTCGCTGTACAGCGCCGCTGCGGCTGCCTGCACTCCTCATGGGCTAAGAGCTGCCCTGGTCCCTGCTGCATGCTGTGACACAAGGACGGCCCTTTCCACCCTCCGAGCTCAAAAATCCCTGTGCAAACAGCCTGGATTTCAGCTCTTCTTTCTCATTGCAGCCAGGAGACGCCTGATTCCAACCAGTCGGTGCCTGCTGCAGAGCACACGTGCCAAGAACAGCCTGCCCTCTTCTGCTGCCCAGCTTTCTGCTCCGCCCCAGCCGGCGGGGTGCAGCCGCGCGCACGAAGCACATCACAGCCGCGCTCGGTGTGCTGCAGTGCCAGCAAGCAACCAGAGGGAGGTGAGGTTGGTCTACTTTCAGGCCGAGCCCTGCTGCGGCTCAGTCAGAAGAGCTTCCTGTTTGCTCTACCCAGGAAATGAGAGGAGCAGGTCTTCAATGGAAATTTTTCAGCGTCTCAGCTAAAAATAGCAGTGAGGTAAAAGAAGTGGGCACCCACTCTCACAGGGTCATTTCCTTTCTAAAAACGAGTGGGCTGAGACTGCAGGGCAATTTATTTATTGACGTGCCAGCGTTCCAAAAATGCTGTGCAAGTTTCCTTTCTTCTAATGCAGCCACAACTAATGGAAACATCGGAGCCAACAGTCATCTTGGTCTAAGAAGGGTTAATGTCAGGTGAAGGCGCTGGTAATTAAATTGGCTTGCTACGCCTTCTGTGGGGTCCCTTCTTGGTTCTGCTTCCCAGGCTGAGCGTGGTGTGAAGTGAAAGCAGCAGCAGCAGACCACGAGCCTGCTGAGGGCGGTCCAGCTCACAGCCCCAGGCAGCTGGGACGGTGCAGCGATGGGCTTACCCAGCCTGCAGGCTTCACTTTCCCTCCTGCGTGCTGCACTGGAGGTCAGCAGCAGGTTTTGTGGGCTGAGGTTATAGAGGGACAGCAATCTGAAAAGAGCTCCAGTTGCAGCAGGACGGTGTGGAATGCAAACTCTGTGGAAGTGCTGCAGGACCACGCTCAAGTGCACAGCTGGGTTCCCTCTGTGTGAGCTGCTGCAAGTTGCAAATTGGATTTTTGTTGTTTCTGAATGATTATCAATTCAGTCCCTGTTATCAGTTGGCCTCAATGCCCTGTAGGCACCCTGAATTCCTGCTAAATCCATGTGGCACAGGGAAGGAGGGGCGGTTAAGGCTGGGCTGTGCTAGCGCTCCAAGGGAAGGCTGTGTAAATCCAGCAAGGAAAGTCCCGATTTACAACCAGAGCCCCTTAATCCAATGAATATATGCATGTTTGGAGAAATGGATTCCAAGACTGCTTGGAGTCACTACCACATAGTATGGTGGCATCACTCATCTCCAGATTTTGGGAGCACGTGGATCCAGACTGAGGTGTAATCTCAGTGACTTGGGTTTCAATAGCAGGGTAAACAAAATGAGCAAACTGAGATGTATCTACACTTCAGAGGAAGCTGAGATCATGCACTGAACTTGCTATTCTGAGATCCCACAGATCTCCTTTCAGTAGCATGGTTAAAATGTCTCTCAAGTGTTAGAATCACGGAATTGCTTGGGTTGGAAGGGACTTTAAAGCCCATCCATCCAGTTCCAACCTCTTGCCACAGGCTGGCAGCCACTGACTGGATCAGGCTGCCTAGGGCCCCATCCAGCCTGGCCTTGAATGCCTCCAGGGATGGGGCATCCACAGCTTCTCTGGGCAGCTGTGCCAGGGCCTCACTACCCTCTGAGTACATAATTTCCTCTTTACACATAACCTAAACCTCCTCTCTTTTACTTAAAAACTGTTCCCCCTTGTCCTAAGCACTCAGCTTTGATGGGTTAGAGTCAGTCTCTCAGGCTCCAGTCCTCAGAGATGTTTAAGACTCTAATTTGCATCTTCTCAGATAGAAATCTGGAGAGTATTCACTTGTGGGATGATAGTGGGTTGTATTAAATCCGAGCTTCGACTAGTAGTCCAGAGACAGAGAACAGTCTCCAATTTTAGTTGGCAACGAGTCAGGCTCCTTGTAATTGATTATACATGCACACACACTCATATGCATGCGTGCACACACACACATCCACAAACACATTGCAATAACAACTTTACTGTGTCATTCCACATATGTGTCTGGAATAACACCAGTGGAGGCAACGCTGTCACTGCACTGTATCCGTGGCAGCGTCTGGGGTCTTAGGATCCTGCAGCAGTGAGGGTCCCATCAGGGGCAAAGCTGACCTCCATGGGTTCCACCCTGCACCACATTGCTGGGCAGCGATCCCAGCTATTCCACATTTGCTCTGCTAATACAGCCAGGAAGCGTTTCACACGCGTGCGGCATGAGACACGTGCAGAAGGCCTGATGGCGTTTCAGGGACTGGAAGGTTGAACCCTGAGCTTTTAGCGTGCCATGGAGACGTGAGCAGGCAAACCACGTCCTAGCTGCCACCTGGGAGCAGCAGGATGCTTCAGCCCCGCATGCGCAGCCCCATCTCTCCTTCCCTGCCCACCAAGGCCCAGCTAATTCAGGACAGCTCCGTGGTACGCATGTGGGGAAGAAAAGGAATGAGAAAAAAATTAAATCAAGTGAGATTTTAAACTCTCTAAGCCAAATAAAAAGGGGCATGACTTTTTAATTGAAAAAATAAATAAATAAAGGTTAGGAGAAACACACAGCTGGAGAAAAGGCAGAAAAATACCAATTACCTTTCTTTTTGATTGCTTGGATCAAAGATCAGTCATTCTTTTTCATATAATGTTTTGTATCCAGCTAAGGTGTGTATCTATCAGCTCTGAAAAAGATTTGCAAAACCATTTTTGAGAAAAAAAAGTAACCTTTGACCTATGTTGCAAGGCCAAATGCTAGCGTTCAGCTACTCTTTCATTCAGTGTTTTAATTTATCAAAAGGACATTTCAGCATTTACAATACATAAGGCAGAACTTAACCGCTGACCTTTCTGTTTGCTCAGATCCAGCACGAGGTTTTACCTTTTTTCCCCTCTTTTCTCAACTGATATTATCTAAAAATAAGTATGCAAAAAAAATACAGACCTGCACTGATCACAATACAGAAGAGCAATGCTGGCAGTTTGGCCCGAGGCCTCAGGAGTGCAGGAGGTCGGAGCGTCTCCTAAGCCAAGTCAGAGAGCAGTCACTGCCTTTGGCAAAACTCACTGATGGGATCGTCCTCGTGGCCCAAATAAAACGTGACACATTTATGCCAGACCAAAAGTCAGTCCCTTCTTTCAAATAAGAGATCTAAGCACAGTGGCTGTGTAAATTAGACCTTGCTTTGACTGCAAGGAGCAGGACAGATATGCCTAAAGAAGTTAGGAGAGTTATGGTCTTTCCTTCAAACACAAATAAAAGTGATTTTTTTCTCATCAAATGGTGATATTAAAAATTGCTTTTTTCTGTCTTGTCTTTTTAGATTTAAATTTATCATGAAAGCATTTGGCACTTCATCCAAAACCACGTGGAAATTTAAAAAATATTCCAATAGTAAGGAGGAAAAAGTACATCTTAAGTAAGCTAGTCTTGAGTGCAGGTCTCAGATGTGTCTTTGCTGCTGGATTTCAGGTGACTATATATAGAAGAGAAATATTTTAGTTGGCTCTCTCAGACTGTGCAGCCACGTATCAAACACTGGAACCCACCACGCAGTACACAGCCTATTTTATACTCTGCATCCTGGAAAATCAGCCTCTGCACATGTAAGAAGAGCAACTAATTAACTGGTAAATACGAACTTAGGTGTATCGGGCTAAGGAGCCCAAAT